CTTAGGATTTGAAACCTTTCAATGCTTAATTGCTAATCCTAATTTAATTTTAATTTTATTTTTATATGTTGTTTATTTATTGATTATATTACATTGTACACCATCCTGGGCCCCTCTTTGAGGGAGATAGGCAGTTGAGAAATATAAAATATGGATGATGAATGAAAGTGAAGCCAAGCCGAATTAGGACTCAGTAAAGGATCTGTGTATGTTTAACTACAAAAATGACAGGAAAAATATGATAATCTTTGACTATCACAGAGGGGAAGGAATAGCAACTTATATAAACGGGAAAACAAGCACTTTAAAAAAGGATTTGAAACTGGCTTGAAAACTTTAAAGTCTAAGCCTAAATTCTAGACTTAGAAAGATTAAAGTAAATCTTATTGATTGGAATTAAATTGTAGTTCTTCCTTAGCGTCATAGGCACCCATTCCTAGCCATAGAAGCATCAAGATTATGATGTTACATGCAAGTATTTAAGAGGTGGAGTGCACATCACCAAGTCACCTTTCGGCATATGACTTCCTTGGCCACCTGTGGCCACCTATACGGAGCATAGTTAGACTTCACTCATCTGTGCTGGCTGAGGAATTCTGGGAGTTGAAGTCCACAAGTTTTAAAGTTGCCAAGTTTGGAGACTTCTGGACTAGAGGATGAAGGAACTATTGAATGCCAATAGAAATCCAAACTTATGTTTAAAATCTAGTTCTCATCTTGTTTTAAATAAAACTGGTACAGACAAAAAAAATATATCTCAACCTTTCAAATTTGTGAGCTTATATGGATTCTGCAGGGTTTCGGATGAGTCTATTCAGTTTTATCTTATGATGCTGGGGGAAATGAACTAAGGAACTTTATAAGCAGAGCAGAAGTTAAAATATGGTGTATTGTAGATAACATACTTATGCACAAACTAGTTTGCAAGCCAGCGTTGCTGGAAAGCTCTCTCGAGTTGAAGCCCAGCGTCAAAATTATATATTTTTACATTGTTGATCACATCACCCTATCTGCTTCTCTGCTTTCGTTTTCCACCCTCTTCCTTCTTTGTTTATCTCACAAAACAGTAACAAGATGACCTCTTGTTCTAAAATTGCCCGTGAAAGCTGCTCTTTCAAAACAAAGAATCTTGTCTTGGAGAGAAAAACCACATGTACTCATGTGCACACACATACAGAGTCCTGCATTCTGGGAAGGGCGGGGAAAGCCCCACTTATTCTTGGATTTTTCTGGGAACTGTAGACCCAACATATCTCTAAGGCAGCAGATTAAGGCATCCTTGTGTCTGTATGGCAGGGCTACAACATTTTCAGTCCTTGCAATAACACAACTCAGGTTGCCCAACTTATGGTTTTATTCAATACCTTTATCAGGTATTTCTTCATTTACAACTCAACGGTTGATAAAAGTTTGGAATTTAAACCCCATTCAGGGTTTCCATTGCCAAAACCTTTGGCATGCAGCTGGCAAGAAGTACAAAATACAGCTTCTGCTCAGAGTAAGTACAGGTCTGTTTGTGCCAGATGAAATTTTTCAAAAGGCCACATATAGTTTTGTACAAAACTATGCATTTTAACATGAATTATGATGGATTATAATTCATGTCCAAAGAATATTGTAGGCACCTCCCTGCCTTCCAGGTTTGATATACAAGCAGCATCACAAAATTGGAAGGGGGCATTGAGGTTGTCAAGCCCAGCTTTCTGCTGGAATACAAATTTAAGCTTTTCCCATAAACAGGTTTTTTTTTACCCGATGCTTCATTTATTAACATTTTTCTTGGTCACTTGTTCTACTATCAAGCTATTGTATTATTTTATATTTGGAAGTTCTTCTAACATTATACTGGAAGCCACCTACTGGTAATCTTGAATCCATTATTCTTGGATGATCAAGAATCAGTCTCAGCCTTTTTCTGCGTGACATCCCTACAGATGCCTGCAGAGGTTTTTTGTTTGCAAACAACAATGCATTGGGTAGCCTGTAATATTTCAAGTGAAATAAATAGACATCCTATTCCACTTCTCTTTTCTTCCAATGTCTTCCTAGAAGACTTAATTTCTAACATCTTTATTACCTTCTATATCTTTCTCTGCGTTGTGTTAGTTGATCTGAATCATTCTTAAAGTATAATGTCTAGAAATGTACATAATTGTTTTTTGAGCAAACAAAGTGATTACTTTCCAGTATGGAAATGATACTGTGATGATACAACTTAAGATTCCATATGACGCTTTATGCGAATTCATCAACTCGTATTCATCAACTCCAAATCCAAGATATTTCACATATGTACTTGGCCAAGCCAAAAATCCCTCACTTTGTATTATTACATTATTTTCTTTATTACACTTAATGCTATTACTTTCAGCCATTTCTAAATCATTAATGATCATTATTTTTCTGGTCACCTAGATGTACAATTGTTATGTCATTCAACCCACACTTAATTAGCATGCTGAACAGAGAAACATACTTCGTCAAATCTTTGGCTAAAATTAGTATTGGTATAAAATTAGTATTATGTTAGTAGATTTAGTATGTCCACATCATTACTATAATTTACTAAGGAAGATGCAAGATGAATCTGACAAGGATTATTCCTAAGAAATTAATGCTGATTTCTGCTAGTCATCATATTACACTTCTTTCAAGATCTCTGATTACTTTATAATGTGGACTGGAGAGTCAATATCTTTGTGAAAATAGGGATATTTGATTCCTTCCATTTAACTGTCACTTCACCAGTTCTCCAGACGTCCTAACAATAACACTCAGAGGTTTTTAGTAGACCATCAGCAAGTGGCTTCAGCTACTCCAGGATGTTGTTTTAAACTTACAGTATTTCCCAATTATATTTCTCTTAACCTCAAGCCACAATCCTGCCTCCTCAGTCAACTGCCTGAATTGGAGAGAAGACTCAGCCAAAGGAGGATATGAATATTTGTGTTTTGTTTTTTGTGTGTGCACCTCATGAGCATTTTGCTGGGTTTTTCTTTTCATTTATTTTGAACATACCTGGATAAGCCCTTTTTGTTAGAGTTAGAAATATAAATAATAAACCTTAAAGTTATAAATGTCATAAATGTGGAACTGGTCATAACTTATTTTTTCCTGTGCCGTTGTAACTTTGAACAGTCATTAAATGAATGGTTGTAAGTCAAAGACTACCTGTAAGAGTGCATATGATTGCAGCTTGTCAACAGTCTCTTGTCACATTCTGCCCATTTTCATGCTTGAGTTGAGGAGATTCTGTGTAAATGGGGAGCCCACATATACTTCGACGCTCTTGTATGTGTTTTGCTGTCTCAGTTCCTGACATAACTGCTCATGTTATCATATCTGCATAGTGTTTTCATGGGCAAAGCTCTTAAACAAACTTGACTGTGTTTTCTCAACCTGTGCCAAGTCTGTATGGAGCAAAAAAGCTAAAGCAGATAATGAGAGCAAATGGTTGGCCAAGGACTATAGCAATGGTAGGAAAGACAGATATTCCCGATATAGCATGTCTCATCCAAGCAAGGGGAAAAGGTCTTGTTGGGAAGACAAACTTGGAGGTATAGCAGTGATCCTAAACCACCTTTCTCATGTTTATGACTTCAGTCCTATCTGTAACTGCAATTCAGCATACCCAGGAGGAACATATTGAGAAAGACATTGTAAGAGGGGAAAAATTGCCAAGGAGTTTAATATTGTAAATTAAATCTCCCTTTCTGTATTCCTGAACATGCTGACAGGGGAATTCTGGGAATTGAAGTCCACATGTCTTAAAGTGGCCAAGTTTAAGAAACACTAGTTTATTATTGCCTCACTTCAAATTTCATTGGTTTTCCCATCCCCTTTCCTGAGGTGCTGTTTATATATTTAAAAAGTTATCCATCAGACAATGAGCCTGCACTTGCCATCAAAGATGGAAGCACAGCAAATATTGTTTACAAAGCATACATATGCATACAAAACTACCACCAATATCTAATATGAGTAATTGACTGTGATCCATCTCCTTAGATCCAGCAAATTAAATACAGAGGACCTATGGGCCTTGAAGGTAAAAGCCATAGGCAGTGACAAGAAGTGCAGAGGGCCACTGTAGGAACCGGCCATTGCTGAATATCATCTCCTTTTCCTATTTCATTATTCAGCAACTTGTTGGCCAATCTTAATTGCAGGGTAGTAGGATTTTTCCAAAGTTTGAATTATGTTGCAAATGTATGAATGAAAGAGGACTCAAATTAATGTCATGTTATTTTTATATGTATTTGTAATTCCCACCCTAGAAATAAAAATGCCTAGCTGACAGGGTAAAATGTAATAATAAAATGATTAACAGAAGCAAGTCTAAACCTGCTGCGAAAGATGGCTCATATATGACATGCTTCTGTTGAGAAGGTGTGACTACCAGTCAATTAGTCCTGCTCTTCTCCAGACTCTTCTTCACTTGCATTTTCTTTTGTTCTTTTTTTCTCTCCAGATTTCTCTGCCAAGGGAGCATGCTCAGTGCTCATTGTCTTCAGGTGATCAGGAGACAAGTTACAATTCACAGAGAGTAGCCCTGCAAAGTTGGGAATTCCTCTCAGCAGCTTTTAATGGATCCTTCTTTATCTCTGAAGCATACAACCCACTTAGCACTCAGTAGCTGAATCCATTACTAAAGAAGCATTGACAATAATATTGGCAATTTGCAGCAAATAAAAAGCAGCCAAACAACCTGAGGGGGTTAAGAATTCTTAAATTGATTGTGGTAATGGTGCTTCCTATAACAATATTTGATTGTTATAGCTTAGTAGCAAAGAGGGCAATACATTATGGCTAGCAGAGTATGTGGGTGGTCCCCACCCAGAAAAATGTCTCCAGTCAACAGCTACAGCATGCTTACCCAACTCACCTGCAGTGCAGAAAGGTGGCCAATGATGACTGATATGCATAAAGTTCAGTTTTTGATATGCGCTGCTCAAAAGCTGGCAAGCCAGAAAAAACATAACAGGAAATCTCTCTAGAAGTCAGGTCTATCATGCCTCATTCACTTTCCAGTGTCTGTTTAAAAAACAAGAAATACAATCTTTGCAGAATTACCTGTCTCCTGTAAATGTTGATCTTAGAAAGATGAGATTACATCTGTATATTGCGTATACATTTCAAAGAATGAAGTATTAAGTAATTATCACAAGGACTGGATGACAGGTGAAGTAACATTTGAGGAGGGCAAATGTTATTCCTATGTCCAGAAGACAATTAGAGATATCAGTCAATCTTGATAACTGAGACGATTGATACCCTATATCAAAGGTGTCAAACTCAAGTCCCGGGAGCCAGATCTGGCTGGCCAGGTGCTCAAATCTGGCCCATGAAGCTACCCTGAAAACAGTGAGGTACTGGCCCGTGGTGCCTCTGCCAGCAAAAATAGAGCCCTCCCATGTCCATTTTTGCTGGCAGAAGGTTTCAGGAGGCCATTGCAGCCAAAAATGGGGCTCTGAAGCACATTTGAGTGCTCGGGCCGCCACAGATGCCCCCAACACAAGTGACGTCGAGCTGGCCACACCCACCCTGCCCCCCTGAGGTAAAACACAACCCTGGTGCAGCCCTCAATGAAATCGAGTTTGATACCCCTGCCTTATATCATAAAATGGATTGGTCTGTAAGCACTCAGAAACAATTCAATGATAAGTTTGTCAAGAACAAGACTGTCAAACTAATTTTATTTCATTTTTAAGTAAGTTCTTTAATAGTGGAAATTCTGTGGATATAATGTATCTTGACTAACAAAGCATTTAATAAAATAAAAAGTTTAACACATTCTGATTTGCAACCTATTTAATTATAAGGAAGATAGTAATGTCTATTAAGTGGAACCATAACTAGCAGGAAAAAACATTTAAAGAATACTTATTGTGTTATTCATCAAACTGGAGTAAGGTAAAATATGATGCCATGGGATTGTGATCTGGGACTGGTACTCTTCAACATTTCTTCATGGACATTACAATATATAATTACAAAAGTGTTACAAAAGTGGGCTGAAAATACCAGAATGAAATTTAATAGAGATAAATACAAAGTTCTTCATTTAAAAAAGAAATCAAGGTATAGGAAACCTGGCTCGATGAGAGTATCTGTATAAAGGTGATTAGATTTGTAGTGATTCACAGACTGAATGGCAGCTGGCAAATGAATGGGTTACCGAAGAACCAAACACAATTTCAGGCTGATTGATGGAAACAGAGTTTATTCTACTATCTTTAGTGCTATTCCCAGGGCTGAAGCAGTGGCCCAATGAACTTTTCTGCAACCTTTCTTATTGGAATAGAAAGAAGTGGTGAGCTTTACTGGATCTGTTTAAGCAGTGGTTGGAACACTAATTTACAAGGGTGTTTTAATCTGGATTAAACTGAGAAGGATATTGGGTTTCATGACTTCAATGGATCTGTTCAGATAGAAGTAATATAAGAGACATAACAGCATTTTTCTGCTCCATGGACTGTGGGGGTAGGATGGGTGGGTGGGACTGGATTTGCAATTTGCAGGACTTTTGTGGCTTATTGAGGGGTCTCTAATGCTTCCCAAATAGTGGAGCACTGAGAAGATGTTCTACTGCATCTTTGAATACTTCCCAATCTCTTTCTTACTCAAAGTACCAAATTCTCCTGCATGTGCACATCAAAGGAAAATGGACTAATTACTTGATCTGTGGGGGTGCTGGTTTTTTCCCCTCAGCTTTGAATCTAAGCAGAGCCAGGTCTGGTTAGTACCCAGAAGTGAGACTATCAGGGGATACTAAGCAGGGGTGGGATTCAAATTTCTTAACAACCAGTTCTGTGGGCGTGGCCTAATTTGTCAGTGTAACTTGGTGGTCACGCGACTGATTGGGCGTGGCTTGTATGTGAATATTGTAAATATTTATGTAAATATTTATCTTATTAAAAAAGAGCAACTTTTACCCAAAAGCAGGCAAAGCAGGCAGGCAGATGGAGTTGCTCACAGAATCGCAGATTCACTTAAAGATCTACCTTTCTGCAATTTGCTACCTGAGTCTGCACTGAAAAATAGAAGTGTCAGTCCTAAGGAAGGTTCAGCTCTACTTTTAGATTAGCTAGAAAGCAAGAAATCCAATGATTTCCTTCCTTCTAGCTAATCTAAATCTCCTGGCACAGCAGAACAACTGATGGTCGGGAAAAAGAAAAAAAGCAACTTAGCAGGCAAGTTTGATGGTGCGCATGTCAGGTAAGGAGTGAGGGGGAGGGGAGGGGCCAGCCAGGGGCACAATTTGCTGGTTCTCCGAACTGGGCAGAATCCTAACAACCAGATCTATAGGAGCAGTCCGAATCCCACCTCTGATGTTAAGGCTGTGGGCTAAAATGGGAAGTTGAAAAACAGCCTGAAAAAGGGCAATTAAAAACAAACTAGTTTCCATATTGTTTCCAAGAAAACTGCACGGACAAGCCCATGAAAACAACAGTTATTGAACACAACTGGAAGGAGCCATTTCCTTGTTCAGTCAAGACAGAATTGTGACTCAGAAGCCTAAAATGCAAACAGTTGGCAAAGATCTTACAGGTCTACGTGAGTAAACTCGTCCAATCTTACCTTATTGTCAAATCAGTAGACTTCAAGAGTGCCATGTGAAATAAATATATGATTCTACCCATTAGAAGCAGAAGATTAAGCCCAAAGTTTTGCAGAGTGACAAAGATTGCCTGGATATGAGTATTTGTCCCATGGTCATTGCCAGCACGTGGGGAGGGGATGGGATTTGCTGCATCCTTCCCTAAACCCGAAAAGCCTGTTTTAACCAGAGAAAAACAGTGTGTGTGTGTGGGGGGGGGGGGAATCCCAACCTTTAGGAGGGAGGTGATGAGGCTGCCCTCTCGTCTCATTTTCAGTTCTTCTTCCACGCCAGGCTTTCCGTTCTCAATGCCAGCCAGCCCCCAACCAGCCAGCAACATCGGGGTTATCCCAGAGCCCTAATTCTAAATGCTCTCCCTTTGTTCTAGCCCAGGGCTGGCCAGTACATTAACATAGTGTTCTTTTGTTGCTTTAGATTAAGACAGATAGCAGCCAGTATTCAGAAGTGTTGGGAGGGAGAGGGGAATTAGGGCAGAAGACAATATCCTCTTTGATCTCACAGTGATGGGACAAGGGTAACAGTGCAAACTGAAAGCAGTTAGTTTTTTCTACACATAGCGTATCTAGCAACTGAAAGGGTAATGGAGAATCTTTTTTACTATTTTTTTCAAAGTAATTTTTTTTTTTAATTCTAAGTACCCAAATATTATAGACTTAGATAATAATGACATAATAATGGCCATTATTTTTCACTCTCCTATAAAATGGGGGAGAGGTATGGGTAATGTAAAACAGTGTTGCCCAACCTGATCAACTTTGAGATGTATGGACTTAAATCCCCAGAACTTTATCATTGTTACTGGCCAACTACAACCATCGTAGCATTTGTTAAAATTATAGGAACCCCTCTTGTGTCTTGAGGATTTCTAGCATGAGAGGATTCCTTATGATTTCCTGCAGATCTCTAGCCTAACGGTGCATAAAGAAGTAAGCCCCTCTCTACAATTCTTAAGAATGGCCATGCTGGCTGAGGAATTCTGGGAGTTGAAGTCCACACATTTTGAAGCTGCCCAAGTTGATAAACAGTGATTTAACATCTCTGGATTCCTTCTTCCAAACAAGCTCCTAGTTTGGCAAGTTGGAGACAGCTTAAACCTTGTACTCCAGCTTTGGCCCTTCAGCACAGCTCTAGGAAATAGAAAGGATGGTGATTTCAATCTTCCCACCCCATGCTTAGAAATACTGAACTTAAAAATCATGAAACACACAAGATAACTGTATGATCACATGGTCTTGCACAAGTGAAAAAGACTAACATTCCCTTCTAAAATCAAGAAAGCGAAAGACAAATTTCATTAACAATAGGGAAAATAATCACACAGCATTAGCTAAACTAATTACTCATTATCTCTTTGATTAAGCTCTTGGATTTTAGCACATGTACATTCCTGACGAGACATCAGGGCATCCTGCTTGTATATTTCTAGATAGACCTAGATAACAGATAATCAGAGTTGGAAGGGACCTTGTAAGTCATATAGTCCAACCCTCTGTCCAAACAGGAGACCCTACACCATTGGATAAGAGTCCAATCTCTTCTTGAAAGTCTCAAGTGATGCGCTCCCACAACTTCCGAGGGCAAGCTGTTCCCTTGGTTGATTGCTCTCACTGTCAGAAAGTTTCTCCTTATTTCCAGGTTAAATCTCTCCTTGTTCAGTTTCCATCCATTATTCCTTGTCTGGCCTTCAGGTGCTTTAGAAAATAGCTTGATCCCTTCCTCTCTGTGGCAGCCCCCCAAATATTAGAAGACTGCTATCATGTCTCCCCTGGTCCTTCTCTTCACTAGACTAGCCATACCCAGTTCCTGTAACCGTTCTTCATATGTTTTAGTCTCCAGCCCCCTAATCATCCTGGTTGCTCTTCTCTGTACTTTTTCTAGAGTCTCAACATCTTTTTATAGTGTGGTGACCAAAACTGGATGCAGTACTCCAGGTCTTACTAAGGCTTTATAGAGTGGTATTACTACCTCACTTGATCTTGATTTTATTCCTCTGTTAGTGCAACAGGATTGCATTAGCTTTTTTGGCTGCTGCTGCACATTGCTGGCTCATATTTAGCTGGTTCTCCACTAAGACTCCAAGATCCCTCACACAGTTACTGCTATTAAGCCTGGTTTCACCCAGTCTATATGTGTACTTTTGGTTTTTCTTGTCTAAGTGTAGGACTTTACTTTTCTCTACATTGAATTTCATTTTGTTAGATATGGCCCAGTGTTCTAGTCTGTCAAGATCCATCTGGATCTTGAACCTATCTTCTTGAATGTTAGCTATTCCTGCCAGCTTAGTATCACCTGCAAATTTGGTAAGTTCCCCTTCTATTCCCTCATCTATGTCATTAATGAACCTTCCCCGTTCCTTCTTCCTTCTGAATATTTATCCACAGTTACATAAAACCATAGTATTATATAAAGAGGAGGATGTAAGGCAACCCTTGGGGGGAGAGTAATTGTTGCATTGCCTTATCAAAGTCAATGCACTTGCCTGTCTTGCCCTGGGTCTAGCCAACAAAACAGACATTATTTTGGGACTAACCACCTTCCTTATGACTTTTGAAGGAATTACAAATACACAATCTAGTTTTCATCAGTTCTGCTTTTCTATAAATGGAATTACATGTGATGCATTGTTTCAGGAAAACTAAGCAAGTAGCTAATTTATCATGTTTTAGGAGGCATAGTAATTGTGCCACAGTAATACAAAGAGCAAAATTCTTCGTTTTTATAGCCATGAGATGCTGAGTTATCTTCAGTGATCTCTTTTCTACTAAAAGTATTTCTTTTAACCACGCATGAATCTAACCAACCATCTTCTAGTTAGCTATCAACAAAATGAAATTCAATGGTGAAAAAAGTAAGGTTCTACATTTAGGCAAGAAAAACAAAATGCACAGGTACAGTGTACGTGGTACTTTGCTCAATAGTAGTAACTGTGAGAGAGATCTCAGAGTCCTAGTGGACAACCATTTAAATATGAGCCAGCAGTGTGCTGCAGCTGCCAAAAAGCCAACACAGTTCGAGGCTGCATAAACAGAGGGATAGAATCAAGATCACACAAAGTTTTAATACCACTTTATAATGCCTTGGGAAGGCCACACTGGGAATACCGCATATAGTTTTGATCACCACGATATAAAAAAGATGTTGAGGCTCTAGAAAGAGTGCAGAGAAGAGCAACGAAGATGATTAAGGGGCTGGGGGCTAAAACATATAAAGAACGGTTGCTGGAATTGGATATGTCTAGTTTGATGAAGAGAAGGACTAGGGGTGACATGAGAGTAGTTTCCAATACTTCAGGGGCTGCCACAAAGAATCTATTCTCCAAAGTATCTGAGGGCAGGACAAGAAGCAATGGGTGGAAACTTATCAAGGAGAGAAACAACCTAGAACTAAGGAAAAATTTCCTGACAGTTAGAACAATTAATCAGTGGAACAACTTGCCTCTAGAAGTTGTAATGCTCCAACACTGGGCGTTTTTAAAAAGATGTTGGATAATCATTTGTCTGAAGCGGTGTAGGGTTTCCTGCCTAAGCAGGGGGTTGGACTAGAAGACCTCCAAGGTCCCTTCCAACTCTGTTATTCTATCCTATTCTGTTCTGTTCTAGTTCTATTCAGCTGAAAGAAAGATTAAATTCTTCATTGGAAACAGCTCATAATTCTCTTCCCTTTTAATTTCCCAATTCTCAATGAAGTCATTTTTTCTCTGCAGCGTACCACTACAGATTTCAGGTACTAGTCCCAAAGATTAATTTCAACTGAGAAACATTCAAGTAAAGTGCAGTGTTTTATTTATTTGTAAGATTTATGTAGTTCATCAGTATGATTGGCTCAAAATGGCAAACGGTGTTCCTGAGCAACAGTAACGGTTTACCAGCACAAATATCAATAAAAGAGTACGTAAAATGTCAGTGTTCCTATAAAAATGACCCACATTCATTGCCAGTGCCAATGTATTCCCAAAAGCATTCCGAGGTAGCCTTTTCTCTCAAATAATAGAAGACTAGCATGTAGAATGAGAAGGGTTTTCCCTGAGAAGTTTTATTTGAAAGGAATAAAGCCATGATGACAAAAATTTCATGGTTCAATTAATTACATAAGCCCCCACCTATAATCTGAAGTGGTACAGTTCAGAGTCAGGTCACCAGGACATCAATGAGAATTAGGCCTGGAGCAGCTGATCGCTGACACCTGTTGTGAGAGTACATCAGTACACAAAGCTCAGGAGATTAGTCATATTAAAAACATTAATTCCCAAATACACAGACGACAAAGATGAATATTTGGCTGGCTGCTATTTAATTTCCACATTATGAATTAGTCATGATATTCAAAGAATTACAATATATGTCTAAGTACTGAGGGAAAAGGAGAAGGGGAAGGGGGGAAGATAAAAAGGCATCCAGTCTCTTGAAGATGTCAAAATCAGGCTGCTCTCATTTTCTAGATACATTTGTGCAACTTGCTCTGGAAACTACAATAGGTTCCACCCCTCTGCTAGGTGGAATCACACTGTCAATTTAGTGTGAGAAGATCAGAGAACGAGGCATAGCTTGCTGTGGTTGAGAAAGCATGCTGTTTGTTCTCTTTCACTCCCCAAAATATCAAAGTCTTCAATAAAAGCTACAGGGTGGTATGACTTTCCAAATGGACCTTTAACATTTGTGGAAACTGCATCTTCTAGAGTCGTTAATATCTAGGCATTTCATAATATGGGTTGCCATTAAAGTTTTCTGTTTCAACTCCAGAATCTCTTTGGATATCCAGCTCTGGAAGAAGAAGAGGAAGCAGGGAAAGAACAAATTTGGAAAGACTTTCATTTTACTTCAATATAGTGGTTTCACTTTTGCTGTAGAACTGGCAGCACTTCTTTGCAAGACTATTGCTACTATTAATTGAAATCTGAAAATTGAATTTCGATGCATTAAAATATTTTCCTGCATTTGGGACACTCTTCAGTAACTTCATGGTTTGATTGCAGCAATTCAGTAATCATGGGGCTGCCCCTGAGGACCACTTGGAAGCTTCATCTGGTCTAGAAAGAGGTAGTGCAGGCAGTGTTGGGTTTGTTTTGGTATGCTCATCTGACATCCCTGCTTTGTGAGCTGCTCTGGTAGCCCATGTGCCTTTGAGTGCAATCCAAGGTGGTAGTCATGACCTATAAACCCCTACATGGCACAACGCTTGGTTACTTGAGGGACTGGCTGTCTCATCAGCCATTGGCCTGGCTGGTTTGATTCAATAAGATTGATGCACTCTGGGTTCATTTGATCAATTAAATTAATGCCATCTATCAGGACATTGGAAGCATGCTTTCCTGATATAAACAAAAGCACCACCAGGAACATGCTGGAGTGCTGTGGTATGCAGAGAAACCAGTAAAGAACCAGTTCTTTAGAACCACAGTGCTTGAACCCTTGTGCACATATAGCTTCCTTTCTTTTGTAACTATCAATATGGATGTCTATGGAGATTCTCCGTCATCCAGGACATGGTTGTCCCAAAGGTGCTTTTTCAAGAGGCAACTGGACTTTTTTTTCTTTGAAGATGTTTTGCTTCTCATCCAAGCTTGGGAAGAAGCACCTTTGGGACTATCAGTATGGATAGAAAGACTAAGGAGATGGGTTGGAAACCAGCATGTAATGCCAGGGACCATGCTTGGGTTTGCACTGGACTGCAGCCACTTTGTGGAGGTGAGCAGGGAGCATCCTGGAGAGCTATTGAAAAAGTGGCCTGAGGTCTAAAGCTGATCATGGCTTGGCTTCCCTGCCAGCTGAATATGTGGTGAGCTACAGTTGGGAAGATCAAGCAAGGTTCAGTCATCAACTGGCAATATGTGGCTGGTTACTCCAGGATTACCAGCTTTGTGAAGTGTGATAGACCTCTTAAGTCTATCTGAGACTTAAGAGGGATTTCTATTGTCTCATTGGTCAGGACATTTGATTTAACTCTTCAGATGCTTTTGTCCAGTGTGGAGGACAGTGAAGAGGTCCCTGAAAAGGAGCTGGAGACTTCCGGTGACATGGCAGCACTGCCAGGCTGGATGGAGACATCTGTGAGCCTATCCATCTTGAAACCATACTGGTGCTGGGAAGTTGCTCTCTGTGCTGCGGTTTGACACTTGCCTATTGGTTTTGCCCTTGGGACTCATGTACTGGAATCTTTGCAACACTGCCATTTTTTTTAAAGAAAATTGTTTAATTGTGGGGGCTGCTTTTCACCCATAAAGCTTTTCATGGCATAGGCCTGATTGTTTAAGCAACCAATTATCTCCAGTTGTTTCTGATCATCCAACGAGACTGGGCAAAGTGGATGTTTTTCAGGTCCCATGAAGTAATTAAGCAGTGTGCCTTGGGGGGTGGGGTTATTTCGCCTTTGGAACACTTATGAATTCCTTGGTCTGGTGATATCCCCCACCCAATAATAATTGGGAATTGTGTGGCCTTTAAACTGTATGAATAAACAAACAACAATCAAGCTACTGATGCTGATATTCAAGTCCATTTTAATTTTATTTTAAAAGTGAAGATAAGTTATTTAAAAAAAATAGATTAAATACATATTTAAAACACATGCAATAGATTTTGTATAACTTGAATATCACAATTTGACAGAATGCAAAACGTCCCCTATCATTTGTATAATGCAGTTTGAGTGAGCAACATAATTACCCAAAGGTGTACTGTAGTTAATTGAATGTATGTTCCAAGACTCAGAAATGATTTCTTCCCTCTTTAGAGTTGTGGGAATTGAATTGTGGCACAGTGTAGGACAATTCTGAACATATATATTCAAACAGGAGAGCTACAACTGAGAAGTGATGTAAAATCCCACATTAAAAACTCTGGTTTACAGTTACTTAAAACTATTTTTCCCAATCCTAGTCTTTTGGGGTGTTCTGTATCCCAGTGCCATCATCTGGGTTATGTTTACAGATTATGGAAGGTTTGGGATTATAAAACCTGTAATTCCCAGTGTATTCTCCAAGAAAGGACCCAGATTTTGGGAAGTGCAGTATCATAAGAGTCTTGGGAACTTCGATATCCTTCACAGCATCCTCCCCTGTGGAAATGATAGAGGGTTGTCATCACAGAAAGTACCAAGCTGCTAAAAAACCTGAAATTGACTGCTTCCCATCTTGGATGTATAGATCACTCTTGCTTTCTATGAAGCTGTAAATTCCACCCACTACTGATAACAATCCTGCTACTGTTTCTTTAATTGCAAGATGAAAGACAGGTGAGTCAAGAACATAGTCAGTTATGCACGTAATTGTTCAGTCCTTGTCAGCTTTCTTCTAAAACACACTTTCCACATCCATCAAATTAGGGGTTGAAATGAGTTCAGGGGTATTATCATATGATGAACATCATCTACGCACCACAAAAATAAACTGGTTTTAGCCCCTTTTCCCAGGGAAATCAGAATTTTGTTTTAGATTTATAGCCAGTTTTATTATACAGAATTTAAGTTTATTAATTTTACTTCTCGTTGTTTTGTTCTGGCATGCCTCTAATGATGTCACTACTTCCCACAAGTTGTTCAATATTGTTGCCATTGTAGTTATGCACAACAGTTTTGGCCAACATAGCATAGTACTCAATTTCTGACTTTCTCAAAGCAGGACAGTAATTTATTAGGATAACTAACTTGGCTTTGCCCTGCCGAATCATTTTCAGAGTTTGTTTATATCCAAGTACATATTTACCGCTTTTTGTAACCAGCTGAAATCTTTGAGTTTTTCAAATCTAAAGACCTCTATCTTTTGGGTGGCCACCATCTTGCTGGCTCACATTGGCCCTCCCATTGCTAGAAGAGCACTTCCAAGTTGGCCAGGCAATGAAAAAAGGCCCAGGGAAGTCAAAATTGATGTCAGAAGGAGAAAAATATACAGAAGTGGAAGAAAAGGGTAGAACTTTCCAGCACCAGGATTTTGGGGAAGATAGAAAATTGTAACAGTTTGAACTATTTTTTTTTTAAAGCTTAACATTTCAGCCAACTCTTCAGTAGCACCTATATACCTCAGAGATTTATGAACACCATATAAATGTACATAATTGACTTTTCTGCATAATGAATAGTTGCCCATTTAGATTAGAACATATAGTACACTTTCCAGTTTAGAAAGAGTTGCACCTACAAGCCCCCATCCTGCATCTCACCATCGGCATTCAGGCTTTCATAGATGTGCTCAAAACATTTTTCTGGAATGGGTGGAGGTTCTTCCTCTTCTTGTTCCTTAGACTCATCACAATTTTCAGGTTGCACTGGCTGCGATGCCTTGGTTCGCTTACACACTCGAGCATACATGGCACTTAGTCTTCTTGAATCAGATTCAAGCTGAGCCTGAGGGGCCTCTTTCTCAGGTGCCACTTCCTGCAACTGGCCATGTGACTCCTGGCATTGTTGAGCTGGGGACAACTGCACAGGCATGTTGTTGGATCCTTCAACTTCAGAATCTTTCCCACCAAGTACCACAGGCTCTGCTCCAACTCCATGGGTTGTGGAACAGATCAAATTATCACTAGACACCATCTGACAGCCTGTCCTTTCTTCCAGCCAATCCTTGCTATATAGTTCCTGTTCTTTAATACCAATGCTTTCGTAAATTAGGTTGTCTAGGTTCTGAGTTGATGGTAACATTTTAGATAGGTAGGCCTCTTTGGGAGTCACTGGGAGTTTCCTGAACTGCAGTGGGCTTGGGGATGGTACGTTGGAACCTGGCGCTTGTGGACTCAAGTTTCTGTGTTGTTTCATGTTCAGTTTCTCCATCGTTTGTTGGCTTGAGTTAACTTCCTGTGTATATTTTGGAGAGTCAGCATTTGCTTGCTGAAGCTCTGAAGAAAATCCATTTGATTGCTCCTGTGTTTGGTGACTAGGCAAAGTGTTACCTGTACAGAAAAATATTACTTTAATTATACATTGCTTGAGATGCTTTTACAAAAGATGGGTTAGGCAATTTAATACACGTTAGAAGTGCACTGTCCTCTGTCCCAGAGGATTGATCTCTCCTGCAACAAACCCAGTCAGCAGACATGGCTCTGATAAACACATTCAAGAGACCAGACCAAATTAATAAAATCTTGTTAGGCCATCCAGTAGGATAAGCTCCAGAAGACCTGCTGCCATGAACGAGAAAAGTTTCAGGATATGGCACAGGCAAAGTAAAAAGAAGGAGCAGTAAAGTGAATGAGAACCGACTTCTTACTACAAAGTGTCAGCAAGCTGTAATTTCTAAGAGAATCTGTCAAAGGATTGACTAATCCCCGAGTATAAGACTTAGATTTTCTAGGCTTAAAGTCAGTTGGGATGGATTTATATGGATTCTGCTAAAGAACCAGATAGAGAAGAGGAATGAGGATAGATATAGATTATGTTGATAGGCTGATAATACATGAGAAAAGGATGGAATGCTTAGGAAGAAGGAAGTTATAAGGAAAAGTTTGAGGTTGGCACAAAGAGCTTGAAATTGACCAGGATGGAAATTATATTATTACAGCCTTGCCTATCAATGTCACCAGAGGAGTAAGACAGGAGAAGAGGCAACACGATCAATGGTGAGAGACAGATATAGAAATAGCGACCAACTCTGGTTTTATTTTTATTTTAAATCTTGTTTACATTCTTATCATACTGTTCTATGTAATTATTTTTGGATTATTAAAATGTATTTTACATGTTTATTTTAAGATAGAAATTACCAGGAATTTATGAAGATTACAACATCAAAACAAATAAATAAACAATCTTCAAATCGATACCAGTCTTCCTCTTTCTATGTCATTTAGATATCTAGCTACTATCAGGATCAGATATAGACACTTTGACTTTCTGTTTAGGCACCTATAAATACGTAGCAATGCATAGGGAGCAGAGGTGATATTCAGCAGGTTCTGACCAGTTCTGGAGAACCGATAGCGGAAATTTTGAATAGTTCAGAGAACCGGCAAATACCATCTCTGACTGGAGATTTTGCAGTATCCTTCCCTGCCACGCCCACCAAGCCAAGCCCACAGAACCGGTAGTAAAAAAATTTTTTTTTGAATCCCACCACTGATAGGGAGTATGTACTATGGCCCTTAGGGGAAAAAGCATTAAAGCAGGAGAGCTGTTGTGATGAGCATCATCCAGGAAACTGAGGCACAGAACAAACCTGTAGAAAGGAACCTCAGATCAAGAGAGGAACAATTAATGTATTAATGTAAAATATCATATACCTTTTCTCCCATTGAGAAGAGCAAACGGTATGATAAGGAGCCAAACTCTGTTTTAAGGGGCTTTTGATGGGGGAATTAAAATCCAGCGAGGCAAGCCACATGACTTGAGAGGGGCCTTGTCTACATTTTGCTTCTGTGCCAGTTAACACACATGCTTCAGGAGGCATGCAAAAGAATTAGCACAGGGCAGAATCTGGGCACCTTTTGTAGGTTGTCAATTCTCTCTGCACCACAGCGGCCAAGCACATTGGGCTGAATGCCAACACTTGTAATGAGTTTGTTCCTTTTTGTTAAGTACTTAAGTGAAAGAGCAGGTTTCAACACTGTCTGCAGAAGCTGTCAAGAGACTTGCTGAGCAGGTTTCCTCTCCTAAAGATAAAATAACTAAGAGCATTTGTATCTAGCAGGCTGGCCTTGAACCAGTAAGACTTTAAAGGCTGTTCCTGTATTCCTCCCTTCCCCCCATCCCCAAGCTTACAGCAGCTGGCCTGGGGTGGAGGGTGTGGGGTGGAGTAGGGAAATAGTGAAACGGGAAAGCTTTACCCTCTGATCCAGTCCAGCAGCTCTGATAAAAATCAGAATTTGACATTTCCTTAAGTCAACACAACATTTGAGAAGATTCTACCGTGCTTCACTTATGCTGGAACGGTATCTTGATGTTTTCTATCTTTGATAGTAATATTGTCCTCTGTTTTTTACGTGTGAAACAGTGAAAACTTAAAAGCATAGCAAAACTCTTCTACTGTCATTCTGTCTCTAGTTACTTAACACTTAGATTTTACTCGCACACACCCAGTACATCAAAGGCGGCAAGCATTTCTCTATATTTTGCTCCACAAACGTCAAATATGTCTTTCTTCCCAAAGAGGTAAAACTATTATGGGAGGCGAAACAGGATAACTTAGTAGCTAGTTGCATTTCACAAAAAAATATCTTAAACAGTAAGATACAAAAAAAAAAAAAAATTCATGTGCTTATTTGTATTAGAAATCACAGGCGGCTTTAAAAAAAGGTTAAAGAATTTTGTAGCACCTGGGTTTCTAATGAAAAGTGTCCTAAAAAACAGATACTGTGGCAAAAGGTCATGTCCGAAATCATGTCTTCATACAGCATCTGAGACTTTACAAAATGCTGTTTTATTTTTTAATAATAACACAAATTTATTAAACATATACGTTGCCCAGCATTATCATTTTATTAAAGTTTTATGAAAGAACATTAAAAACTAATAATACAAACTAATATAAAGAAAGGAAAAAAGATAAAATCAAAGAGAAAGTTAAAAGTGCAAGAAAGAAAAAAATAAAAGCAAAATAGAAAAGAAAGAAAAAAGACACTGTGGCTTCTGATCTTCCCTAAAGCAATTAATTATAAGTAAAATTTTAAATTTACTTCCTTCTATAAAGTTACATGTCTCTCTTCTTTCTATAATCTATCTATATAATCATAAAAACCATAAATCACAAGTTATTTTTTTTGTTTTACACATCTGTAAGAGGTTTCCAGTCAGCAATAAATGTGGATATTGTCTTTTTTTTCTAATTAAATAAATCAATTTGGCCATCTCGGTGAATTCCATCTTCACCAAGCATTCCTCCATTATAGGTATTTGTAAATCTTTCCCCCTTTGTGCATACAATAATCTTGCAGCTGTTATCAGATATGAAAACAAAATTCCATGGCTTTTTCCAATTGTTTGCCCATCAATCCCAATTGTATCAATTATATATTAATCTGTAAAATCATCTGAATTTATGCATTTGAATCCAGAAATTTTTAGGTTTGTTTTTTTTTACACATCCACCAACCATGGTATAATGTCCCTTCTTCTTGTTTGCATTTCCAACATGTATTTGAAATGCCTTTATATGAACTTGGAATTTCTAGAGTGTATATAGGCCAACTCTCAATGACTCTGGGAGGCAGTATCAAAGAAATTATAATAAAATCACTAAAGCATTAAAAAAATAAGGATAAAAGATGGCAAAAATGATGAAGGATGGGATCTTATTTTCTCACACTGAATGCCTCGGTGAAGAGCCAGTCTTGTAAACAAATAGCCAGGTGGGGGCCATCTTGAGAGGGGGCTCAATCCAGAAAGATTAGGGTGGGGGGTGTTTAACACTTCCACGTTCCAGATTCACATCACACCTCCAGTCCACACAGCACAAATGTAATATTAGTAATGTCCAACAATTTCTTCATAACAGGTCTGTCTTTTATTCATTTTCAGCGCCAGGAGGCTTCTAGATGTCTATGTGACACTTTGGATGGATTTGGTAAACAGACTAAGAAAATATTTAACTTCGATATTTATAGGTTTATTAATCAGGATACCTCACCCTCCTATACAAACACCTTGTCTTAAAATAAGACTTGAAAAGTCCATTCAAACTTTATACTTGAATGTCTTTTGTTGTTAGCTCTATTTGGTAGACCAGACCAGGTAATCAACTCTACCCTTAAAGCTAAGCTACTTTTCTTGAGATTGGCTATAACAAAATTTTGCGGGTCTAGCTGGCTTTACTTCCTTCTCCTTCTTATACTCCAGTGAATCAAGGAAGCATGTAACTTGTTGCTCTGGGCTTTAAAAAAAACATTTCAATCCCTTTTGCCTAAGTAATGGTTCTTGCACATTTCTATCAAGATCATCTTTCTTACTTTCTACTTTTTTTTCTTCATTTGGTTTTCTTTGTATATATGGATTCTTCTCTCTCCTCCAAATCCGATTTCTTACTTGACTGGAAAAGATTTGTTTTCTCTGGGCTTCTTTCCATGGACAAATATAGGACACCATGCAAACAAACCAAAGCCAAAAGTCTTTTTCCCACTTGTGTTTTGTGTTTATTCTAAAATATATAATGGTATTAGCTGAACAAACTAGGCAGGCATTTCAATATGGAGTTTCTGATAGTTTCTCAACTGTCTCACCTTTCTTGATTCACGTGGGTCTGTCTAACACTACTTTGATATGCTTATTTCATTTGGCAGCTTCAATACCTTCGCTTCTCAAGTCTGCTTTTTAGCCTACAGAGGAGGAAGAAAAAAATAACCCTTTCCTGGCTCCTTGTAATTCCTGCCCCTTAGTCGAGCTTTCCTCATTTCACTCCCATTTTCCTCCTCCAAGTATTGCAGTCTCTCTAATCAGCCAGCTCCTTCTGTAGATCTTCCCTTTTCAACCTTCAATCAATCAGAATAGAGCTGGAAGGGATCTTGGAAATATTCTAGTTTGTCTTGCTTTCTGATGCTTTGGAAAATAAGTAGACCCCCTCTTCTTTGTGGCAACCCCTCAAATTTTGAAATACTGCTGTCATGTCACCCCAGTCCTTCTTTTCTCTAGACTAGCCGTACCAGTTCCTGCAGCCATTCTTCATAAGTTTTAGTTTCCAGCCCTTTAATCATTTTAGTTGCTCTTCTCTGCATTTCTCCCCCAAAGTCTCAACATCTTTTTTGTAGCGTGATAACCAAAACTGGATGCAGTATTTCAGGTGTGGTCTTACTCAGGTTTTATAAAGTGGTACTACTTCTACACATGATTTTGATTCTATGCCTCTGTTTATACAACCAAGAATTATATCAGCTTTTTTGGCTGCTGCCACACACTGCTGGCTCATATTCAAGGGATCGTCCATTAGGACTCCAAGGTCTCTCTCAGTGTTACTGTTTTTGAGCCA